GCTGTGCACAGAAAATATTCATTCTGCCTGCCTGTGCTCCACCAACATTAATTTATAATTAATTACAGTAATGTCATTGTAATGATGAGAATAATGTTAACAAAAGCATATTTCTCTATCATTAGCATTAAAAACAAAGCTGAATTGATGTCAGGAATGAAATGAAATTGAAGACCAAGAATTGTATTATGTTCATGGAAGTAAGAACAGAATGCTCTTTAGCCAGGCAAAATTTAGAATGTTCTATGTCTCATATAATATCTGCATGAATTATTTTTGTCTACATATTGGAAAATATGAGGACAGAAGCAGTATGTGGAATTTGTATCTATTCAAATTAGGGGACAAATCTTTTAGCAGAAAGTATACTAAAGGTTCCGTGAATATTTCACTGTTTGTTCCCGTTTCACTTCTGTGAGACAATCATTTTCAAAACAGGTCATGTAGTGCATGGACAATCTTCTGCTCCTATTTGAAAATAGGGAGAGAAGTGTCTCATAGAGTGTCACCTTTATCAGAGGAGACACCAACATTAATTAATAAGATCCTTTGTATTGAAATTACAGTACTTTAATTTTATGAAAGAACTTATGGACTACATATTGATAATGCTGAATAAATTTAGACAAAAAATTTATCATTCACATTTTATTCAACAGCCAATACCTGAAAAAATATCAAACCTGCAATAAAATACAATATCATGGTTAGTCTTCAGTTTTAGATAAACATGTAGAATAAATTAGAACACAGATCCCAGAAAAACCCTGGAAGACAGACTTGTTAGTATGTTAGCACAGATAAATTCCCACACCTTACAGAACCCCACTGGTGAAGTTGGCTCTGTTAACTGAAAAGAAACCACTCTCACACATGCACAACACTCATACTGCAATCCCAGTTGAAATACATGTTAGTTTTGAAATAGTTAATTGAGTTAAGTGCAAGTAGCAAAATCAGAAACCTATACCCTTGTTTCGTTCTTAATTCCCATACCTTCTACAATCTAAAACAGGATTCAACTTTATGGTGACAAAACATGATTTCTTGGTAGCATTTGCACTGTGTACATAATCCATGTTCACATCAAATATGTTATTAATTTTTTATTTAATGCATGAAAGTCCTTACTCTGGTAAGCACTGCATGTTGTTAAGTCTGAATTCTTATGATGACACTGAGTTGTCGTAAGCATAATTGTTTTAAATGTGAACTACTGCTGTTTTTCCGAACATTTTCAGAAACTGGATGTTCTGTCATCAGGTAGCAAGAGGGGGGATGGACCCCTTTACTTGGGCCCTATGGACAGAGTTAATATTTATCCCTGTCCAAATTACATGATGAAGGAAATAGATCCAGTTTCCAAAACATTGTATTTAGAAAAATGTATGATGACAGACAATGCCCAAAATAATTATTACGTTTATAACTGTTGTGTTACCTAATTTATATTTATTTACCAAGTAAGATTTTCATTTTCTTCTTAAATAATTATTATATGTCTGTGGTGATAAACTGGAGGTTCTATGGTGAGATTGCAAATTGAACTGAGTCTTAAACTCAGAACCACACTATAACTTTTCAAAATTCAAACTTTTCAGGGAATACTGGAAACTGTACATCATGTCATAAATCATGACTGACTCCATATTCATGCATGAACTTTAGACATTGTTCTCCATTTCAGGAATACAAAGCTTGATCAAAAAATTTGGTGAAAGACATCACCACAATAAGACATATGGGAATGGAGAAACTGGCATGTGATGTGTTATGGATATGCTTATGTATATGTTTACAGAGTTTCTGGTGGCTAACACCCTCAGTTGTACTGCATGGCTGATATGTGTGAGCATGTGTGCAAATTGGTGAAATTTGTGCAATGCGCAAACTTGCAATTCTGTTCCCAATTTTCAAAACAGTTGCAGAAAGAACAAAATGCTCATCACAGCCTGTGAAAATGATGCTGTAACAAAGAGGACAGTTTTAAAGTGGTTTCAGAGGTTCTGACAAGAAAATGAGTCACTAAAATTCTTCATTCTAAATTTTTTTTGAGGTCAAATGGTCAATATGTTCAGCATTTTAGAAAGAAGTTTCAGAGGGACCATCTGGTTGGGCCGGGGGGGGGAGAGAAGAGAAAAAGTTGGTTGCTGCATCAAGACAATTCACCCTGCCAGACGTCATTATCCATTCACAAGGTTTGAATGGTAAGAAGACTCTTGTTACCACAGTCTCCTGACCTGCCACTATGTGATTTCTGGCTGTTCTCAAAATTCAAAGAAACAATGAAAGGGAAATGATGTGACATGACTCTAGACATCATTTCCAACGTGACACTGTCTACAAAAGAAAACTTTCAGAAACGTTTCCAACAGTGGCAGGAGTGCTGGAACAAAAATGTGTGTGTGTGTGTGTGCACACGCCAGAGGGAAGTACTCTGAAGGGCATTAATGGAAAATTAGGTATTCAATCATTCACCAAAGTTTTTGATCCTGCCCTGTACAATCTCATCCACTGGATATCAAACTTGACACCTGCATTTTCTTTTAAGACCGAATGTTAAGCTTGTTGCTAATTAAATTAAATATGAAGGATATTCAAAGAGCCAGTTCCTTGTAGACAGATCTCACTAAAACCATACATATTAAGTACACTGGTGATGTCCAACATAAATGTGATAATTCAATTAATCCACCAGTCATAAATTTTTAAAAAATCACTGTTCAAATCTTTGGACTCATGTTAACTCCTAGATTGATTTTGCTTAAATCTATACATGTCCAAATAGACCTACATGAAAATGTTGCATCCTTTAGAAATAAAGGTTAATAATGTAGCTTCATATGAAACCAATCTAAATTTATATATGTGGTATGGTGTTGGTTTGGTACTTCCCGAGTTAGATCATCCGGCATCTTATCAACTAAATACTGAAACTATGCCCCAGACATAAAGTTGGCTCAAGTTTAAAGTTAACTGCTCACATTCGCCTAATCATGATTTTGAGGATACATAATACCTTCCATCTCCATAGCATCATGTTCAGACCAACTTGTGTAATATATTTACAGAAATACAGCTTTAATTCTTGTTTGTATATAAAATTATTGTTTTTTCTAGACACATAACTTTAATTTCTTTACAAGTAAAGTATCTTTCACACAGCTATACGATCAAAAAATAGTTACCAATAAAAAATATTTTGAAAAAATTATAAGTGAAAGAGAAGTTGGGAAACTCTCATGTTACTGAACAGAGTGCAGATGATTTGGTTTACTAATTGGGGAGAAGAAACATAAAAGGGATAACTTAACTACATCCAGCACATCAAATATGTGTAACAAATGAAAATGAGTTAGCAAGGCAGCAGTTCAGTGTTTTAACAAGCAACATGCAGAATCAGGTAAATAAAGTTCTTTGGATATTAATTCTCTTCACTAATCTTTCAAACTGACCTCAGGATCCTATGTATCTAGGATACGCAAGATAACTACACATGCAATAACATAAACAATGTATTTTTGCTTCATACTCAGAAAGTCCATACATCAGATCCTGAGATTGAGCAAGTCCCCTACAGGCAAACCAAATGTTGGGATAAACACGATGAAACGACACTACATGATTCAACATATATCACTATTAGGGATATCACCGTTAATTCTATAATTGCTTACATCCAGCTTCATGACATAAAATTTGGAATATACAGTCTATACTCTTGAAATGTACTCTCAAATTTTGCACACTTCACTGACCTGGACATTTATTCATTGTAGACATAAATCTATTACTGCAAAACTAACCAAACTATAAACAAAACAATGTAGAGTCAAAAATTCTGCTGCTGAAAAATCTAATAAACAGCACAGATATCAGAAAAAAATTCATAAAGTCATTTTTGAAAAGCTGATAATCACCCAGTTCGTTTAAAAAAATTCCCAGCTTTCATGGAACCTGAATATTCATAATCATGTTCAAAATAACCTTAGAAATCCAAGTCCCTGAATGATATTTCTTTCTCCTAACTAAATCATAAAAAATTTAAAAATACTCTTTGTTCTCCTCACATTTTTCACGCCCAGAAAACTAAGACACTGTAGTAACACTAACTGCACCTGAAAGTTTATTGTACTCTGACATGACAACTATTTGAAGTCCAGTGCACAATTTGCTGTGTCAACTTCTATTTGACACTGAACCATGAAAGGTTAAGGAAACCATGCTGCTACATATAAAACACAATTATCATCCTGTTAGCTACAGAGGAGTAAGAAACAAGAACTGGCTATAGCAGAAACAATCCCTGTCAATCTTCACTGCGGCAAAACATCGTGTTCACGTTTGTTATGGTAATATTAACCCATCACACAATGCTAAATGGCCAGCATTTATCATATTTCTCAAGAGCATGGTAATGAAACTTCAGGTTCCACAAAATAACAATTTCTTGACCAGCTGGGTAACTATTAGCTGTTCAAAATAGAAAAGATTGTTATATTCCATGTCGACCTTTCCTTGCCAGTGCTGTTTTAATGTTTATCCCCTGATGATAGAAGTAAATTCTTACAACAATGATAAATGTATCTCCCACACAATGTTTACAACTCACACATAAAAACATGCACACACTACACATCCATTATAAGGCAGTGTGATATGAAAATTAAAACAGAAAAATAAAATCAAGAAGGCAAATAAAAATTAAATGTAAAACTTACCTCAAACAAAAAATAAAAGGTGCAAGAATTCTGCTGAATGTGATCAATATTAAGTCATTCCTACAATTTCAAGCATGATGCAAGGTGCTAAACCATCTTTCTCATTCGACTTTGATCCCAGTTCCTGAAAAACTCTATAAGAAAAAAACTAAGAAACGTGTGATATTTTGTAATATATGTACGTACATTATCTTAACAGAATTAAGGTACCTTGTTAGGGAAGGAGAATATGTCAAAGATACAGAAGCAACAAAATAAAATTACTAAAAACAAAACAAGCAGAATGTGATCTGTTGCATTTTATTACACTTTGCATTTACACCTTCAATTCTTGACTATCAGCATAATAGGCCTACAGTAAAGAAAAATACAGAATGGAAATATAAATGTATTTGCATACTGTATTGTGTTCAGCTTCACCACCTTCATTTCCATCAGTCTCAGCCTCCACAGACATGTGCAGAAGTGAGTGAGGAACACTCTTGTACTCTATACACCATGATTCATTGATACTGGTGCATATCATGCCATTCAAGAATGCAGTTCATGCTCTATGTATCTATCATAAGAGCAATTTTAAATGTACTCTGAAGGCATTCTTGTACAAAGAATCTGTGTGACAGATGCACGTCATATAGCACTGCAATTTTGATGCTAACACAAATATGGCATTGCTTACTAAACAAATAATCTGCAAGTATTCAAAGAATATAACCTATAATTTCCATCAGTATACTGCAAACTTCAAGTAATATGACGTATGTAATAAAAAAGTCTTGATAAAACATAAATGGTTGTCAATGTTAAGCAATTGTGTGAAGCAATAGAAACAATTTAATCAACTTATCATAATGTTGGTGATTAATACAATTAGATACTATTACATGGAAAATGTTTCTGTCAAGCAGGAATTAAAGAACAGTACTTTAATAAATTCAACTTGACAAGATATGTAAAGATATCAAGCAATGGAGGTTTCAGACTTTCACATTTTATCTGGCTTGAAACAAATGACAGAAAAATGAACTAGAAAGTGTTTTTGTTTTGGGTAATTAAGCCCAGAAACATAAACTGAATTTCTAAACATTAATACTTATCATTATTATGAACTATTCATATGCATAGCAATGATGGTATGAAAGGAGAGATATAAAACTTTAATACAGTAGGTAATAAGATCACATTAAAACCTTTCTTAAATTATGTTACTTTCCATTCTACACTCACTTTCTTTAATCTATAAGTCCAAAAATTCTGATCCAATCTATCTGTTACAGTTCTTTTGTTTACTTTAGAAAAATATGAACACTTTTTATATAAGGTATTATTTACAATCTAATAAATGCTGATACAATTTATATTACAGTTGAATTTAATAGATATGAAAGAAAGATAGAAAAAAAATTATGATGCTTTTTCAGCTATCTGCACATTTGTACGTCAAGTTACTAACACACTCCCCAAGCATAACCAACTGTGGGTTGTACCATCTTCAATACAGCATATGGCAGTATCCTTCAAATTTTTAAGCTTCCTTATCCCTCCGCATGCACATGCCTGTCCTGACAAAACATTCAAATCATTATGAGACTGTTCTTATTTTGACAGACACTGGGCAATATTTCAGTACGCCCTGTAACCTTTAATCAGAAGGTAGTTTAGAGGAAATGAGCATGATAAATCTTACATCTCCTTCACACTTTCATAACAGGACAACACGTGAAACACAGAACAACTAAAGCTACATGCAATATTCAAGTGCAGTGGCATTTTAAATTAGGTACACTAAAATAACAGAAAGTAAAAGGAGGATCCACTCTACCAATATGGGAAGAAAAATTAAATCTGTACATTTACTACAAAATTGGATAAAGTTATGTTGCTCACAAACACTGACAAAATCAAAGACAACTCTGCAACATGTCTACATACAGTCTGCACATCAGGTAGCTTATGTGTACCACATGGCAGAAAGATGAAGATAAATTATCATTTAAAACTTACCTCCAAATGAAAATAAACTATACCCTGATGTAAAATCTTAAGAATGAATTACCAGAAACACTCCTTCATTATCTTCCTGTAATATGCCAAAATACGCAAAGTTTGGAAAGAAAGTACAGCATGATGTTGAATTTATTTCTTGTAAACATAATGCGCAAAACCAATCCACCTTACCAAGACACTGGGATCCTGAATATATTACATAACAGAATTATATAGCTATTTCATAATGACCGCAAATGAACATTAAAAGTTATAAACAACTATACATAACCACCTAACCCTTAAAACTGTTCATTACTTAATGTGACTACCAGCATGTGGATTTATACTTGAATTTATTTGCTTTATATTATAGTTATAAAAATATGGTAGTGTCCCAAACTGACAAAGATGTTGTAACAAATCATAAGTAAATAGGACTGGATCTATGCAAAGGTACTGATAACAGAAACTGCATAATAATCACATGTACTGTAAGATTAAGTACTGCAAGTTCTCAAGAAATGGTTGACAAATCTTGGTTTAATGTAAGGATGTATTAAGATTCTTCATCAAGGTACACAAAGCAATATGCTATAGAGATATGTCACTATGTAACAACATACACTATCGTACTTCTACTTCCAGATAAACCATAACTTTCTTTCACTCTCATTCATTCCTTTCATACATACAATAACAGATCTGCCCTAGTAAAGACAGCGCAAACTACAAAGATCAATTAGTCATCCACAATAGTCACTGCTCATTAGTTCAATCAACAAAGTCCCAGCCATGTAAAAAAATTATAAAATTTAGCGTCGACTTTTTTGCCTGGACTGATGAGAATCCTGTTTCCTGTCAGGAGTCCTTGATGACCTTGAACCACTGCCACACCTACTGGAAGAAGGAGACCTCGACTTGGAATTCCCACCACTCCGGCTGTGGAATGGAAATCTTTATCACTTTATATATTTTAATATGTTAAAATGTGAGAGTTATAAGCAGAAGAAGACCTGAAACAATTCTAAAGGGACCTTTATTCCATTCAAAATATATGTACAAATGTACGATGGCTGCAGCAACTGCTTGAACACTGTATCTTCAATGTCAGGCATAACCATTATGTTTAACACATTGTTTCAGCATTAAAGACAATACCATAGTAATATCTATAGCTTAAGACTACTGAACTCGGAGGCACCAAATACAGTGATGTTTGCTAGGTAGTTAGGAAATTACATGTAATTAAAATTAGTATGTCTTTTTGGAAAGACTCTGTTTATCGTGCATATATGTGTGTGTGTGTGTGTGTGTGTGTGTGTGTGTGTGTGTGTGTGTGTGTGTGTGTGTGTGTGTGTGTGTGTGTGTGTGTGTGTGTGTGTGTGTGTGTGTGTGTGTGTGTGTGTGTGTGTGTGTGTGTGTGTATATATATATTTAATGCTGAACATAAGGCAGAAGTAGAATTCAACAACTTGACATTGTTGAGAAAGAGCATATAAAACTTGCATGATAACTAATGATAATGTGAACTGAAAAAAATTCTACATTCAAAGTAAAAACACCACGTGTAATTAAATATCTGGGTCTCAGGAGCAATCACTTTCACCTCAGATTAAAAACAGTATTATTCTCTCTGTCTCCAAAGTTGCTTCAAAACATTTGGGCTAAACATCTTTATAAAGGCCGCTGAAACATAGGAAATGTTTACCAAATTGTAACTTGATCATCAAGATAAATAGTGTATGCAAACCCTGAAGCCAAGAGATAAGTTTCATCATAATGTTAATATGTTATTCAGATGTTTAGGATACAAAGATCACATAACATTCTGATTTTATTAAAACATACACATTAAGCACAATTACTTCGGTATAAACGTTCATGAGTTATAAAAAGACTGGGGATGTCAACTGATGCTGATAACTTTGTATAATGTCACTAGAAAAGTGTGTTACTAATTTAAATATATACAAATTTCCTTTTAATTACTGTGTGTTTAAAATGAAATTTCAGAATAAGAATCTATGCCTTTTCACCAAATCCTAAACCTTTCTACCAATTGCCATGTATAATTTTAAATTCAGTTTTAACAAGTAGGACAGGATTAATAATGTGCCATGACATAAACTGTTTTTTCAAACTTATATAGAAGAACAAAGCGTGGTACAGAAGATTACAGTGTGTATTTGGTATATACTATATCATAAAAAACTGCACATACTACAGCCCACTATTTCCCTGCACCTCAGCCTCAAAACTAACTATGCAAATTAACAACATATTGTACCTCCTTATGGAAAATTGTAATCTACAAAGTTACTGAGGGTTAACATTTTAATTTCAGTGAACCCTGACACCACTGCTGGTATAATATTTTTGGGATGTGTAAGAGACAACACTCAGTATGCTACATCTCTTTGGTTCTACTATAATTTAAAACAGGCTTCCTATTATCTGTACTTCTTAGAGATCTCTGTACATTTTTCATTTGACATTATCTTTAATTTCTGTACTGTTACCATAAAATCTATCCATATGAAACTGTCTTTGTTGTAAATAGTAACTTAATATTCTGGACACAACTTTGCCACAACCGTTTGTAAACCCATCACCCACAACACAGATAAACCTCAACTTCTGCAAATAAGTCCAGCAGTTAAAAGATAAGATTGTGCCTCTGTGTGGTTATAATCCATTTACACATATTCTGAGATAGCCTAATGTTGTTGGCAGGAAATCTGAACAGAAGAGAAATGCAAATGAAGTAAAGATGCCAAGTACAGTTTTTACGTAAAAAAAAGTCATATTCCTGTATCTGCTACTTGTGGTTGAGCTACCAGCAATACATTTTCATAATTTCATTTGAAAAAATTTTCATGGTAAATCATTATTCATCATGCACTTTTCAGCACATCTAACCCACACACATACTACCACACCAACTCATTCTCTCTCTCCCTCTTGCACCAGTGAAGTTTGGCATCTTCCCCCCTTTTTTCCAAGCAACCATGCCTCCAAAAAAGAAAGATAAGTGATATTAACAATTTAAATTGAGGCATAAAAGCTGTGAAGGGAGAAAAGTAACCTTTGCACAAAGTGAATATATGCTTGGATAATAAACGTACAGACAATGTTGTTGCAGTGTTCAGACCACAGTCTGAGGCCCACATATCTCATAATATGCAAAATGTAGAAAATTGCTTCTTTCCAAGAATTGTGTATTTGTGAACTCTGTTCTTACATACACATTCCAATTATTGCATATGCTTATAATATGTGTAATTAATGTAATCACTTTTATTACCTTTGACTATAATGGACACTGCCACTTTACATCCTGAAAATTTGCCATTTTATATTCAAATGGCTCTTGGATATGTATGTGCTAAACAATTAAAACATATGATTGATGCACTCAACATTTAAAAAAGGACTGAGGCTTACTGGCTTTTACTTCCAATGAAGCCACTCATATAAAGAATAGTCTACTGATTGGGGGTTAGAAAGACAGCAGTGGTGGCAGTGAGCATTCTACTACCATTTTGGTAACATCAGCTTTTGATCAAGTTGTACAGCTTAGATGCATGTTTTCTCATACCAACACTTGCTTACTTACAATTGTTTTGGCATGTGTAGTAGTGGTGCATGGATGAGTAAAATTGCTTCTTCATCATCTCTTGACTGGTGAATAAACTGTTAATTTGTTTCTCATATTTGGTTCTAATACAGTTTATATTTCTAACATAAGGTGGCAATGATAGTGAGTTTAACCATTTGGATGAAAAGTGTAGGCAGTATGAATGTTCCACTGAAATGTTGTTATCAACCAACTATGTTACAACACAGAAGACAAACAATGCCATGAGAAACCTCAAGAATGTTGTAAATTTTGGTTTAATAATATGTTATAAATTCCATTTATTAGATTATCACTGTCCTGCTCTTTAAACATGACAACATTCCACTACTGTTGAATACTGTATTCTTACCACAGTTCACTCCTAATGGTTTTAGTTTTTTATCACAGAAATTGCTGTTACTGATTTTATAAAACATGTACCATACATAAGTGTTTAAAAGTAAAAAATTATGAACTGTTTTCAACATATTTAACCAAACAAAAGATAAAGATATGAGGTTCACACAGCAGTGGAAACTTCTTTTTCGATGTCATAATTTTGCAGGTGGTTACCAATTCTCCTCTAAAATGTTGATAACAACCTACAAGACTGCATGGCAACAAAACCCAGAAGACCACAATTAACATTTCAAGGGTAACATGAGAAATAGGCATATAACCAAAATTGTTGATTTACAAAAGACTCGATTCTTACACCTATTTTGTCTGACGTGTGTAATATTACTGTTTATATATCTAAATGTAACTGTTCATATTTTTGTGTAGAGAAGCATCAGCATTATGCCCTTAAAGGTAAATAAAAAAGTGAAACTTCTGAAGCTGCAAAAAATCTGAGAGCTTATTTTATGCACAAGAAATAACATTTCTGTAATAAACTGCACAGTTAAGTTATGTACTGAAATTAAATCATGCAAGACTAAATCTACCACCTCAGGTTGATGATAAAATTTGAAAAGCCTATTTCAAAATACTGCATTTGCTTAACCTGTAGTCTGAAATGTACCTGAGTAGCTTGCATTATTCTGCTGTACATTGCAATGCTATTGCCATAAGACATATAGCCTCTTCTGAAATTCAATAAGCAATAAGAATGACGACTCCATATTTAAAATAAGCAGTAATATAATATCACACTTTTGTTCCAATCCAAGGCACAGGAAAGTACTGATGACTGTTATAGGTGAAGCTGTAATAGTAATGAACAACAAAACCATTCTGACATAATTAGTAACATTACATATAATGGTTAATTTATAATTTAAAGATAAAACATTCATATTTCTGAAACACTGGAACCAAATACCATTTTGACAATGCAGTATCTCAGATCACAGACGAGGCTTTAGTAATGCATGGGATTACCGAGTATCAAGCTGTTACAAAATACCACAGACCTTACGGCTGTTTGTACTCTACTACTGCTACACCCCTTGAGAGGAAACGACATACAGCGCGCAACTACAAAGTTTAAACTTAATTTTCTCCACAAGTGATTCCAATAAGAAGAAACTTTGCTAACACACTGTAGTACTCAAGTCATTCGTTTTATCATTTGTTATCGTTTGATTTTGTAGATACCAAAAAATGGTAAGCTACAGAACCAAACAGCAGATATCCATCATCAAGAAGTACATTCAATCATCTAAGAGCCCTGAAAAGGTCAGAAGAACATTCCACATAGTTTGGCATCAAAGTTGGACCAGAGTGAAACAATTTCAAACCTCATCAAGAAATTTCACAAGACAGGATGAGTTTTGGATGATTATTCCCAAGCAGCAGGCCTTTGACAGCAAGGATGGAAACCGACATTCTCATTGAACACACTGTAATATCAATGGCTTGGGATAATGATTTGAATAAAATTTTATACCTCACCCTTCAGGCAAAATAAAGTATTAAACCTGGTATGCACATTTCAGGCCAACATGTGCATATATTTTCCTTCCTTGCACTGTTGTAACATTTTTTTTATTTACTTGCAGGTCGTCATTTTTAGTTTATATTTTGATGCAAAAATATAATTTCCCAAAGCAGAAATGCGTTTATTCTGCTTTAATTACTGAGAACTAGCTCACTAAACATGACAGTCCTGCAGCTCTGCTGGATATTGTTCAGAATACATAGCCAGCAAAGTACAGTGTGCTAGAAAAGATCTATAACAAAGATCAGCATGCTCACTGTTTCATTTTATTCCAATGCTCACCCTACATGTTTTGGATTTACTTCATAGTGCACAGTATATTGTTTTATTACATAAGATATTGTAAGTAATGGCTGAAGACTAGTGTGAGTAGAGAACTTGAGCAGGTACTGAAAAGAAAGGAATGGAAATTTGTGGTAAATGTATTTAGTTACATAAAAACAAAAACTCCTGAACAAAGTGGGTGGGGGTTGGGAGTGAAAACAGCTAAAGCAATTGGCACCTCAAGAGCTTCTGTTTTTAAAATTAAAACTTTAGGAGTGAAAGACAAAATATTGTTCAATGATGAATCCTGGCATAGTTGTACAGGAAGCAATGCAGATAAACAGAATGACTATTGTTTCCATGACTGTGGTTCTAAAGGCATGCAAAGATAAGACACAACTCCCCGACTAGCTTTCCTGGCAGGACGTTCCAAGAGACTGAAGACTCCCGCAGGTCACAGACCATTGTTTCACAACAGTAATTGGCAACAACAAAATAAATTTTTACCGAATGCAAAATGTGCTTTCGTGTCAAAAAATATCACTTTTGCAGGTGAAGCATCAAGTAAGTATGAATAACAAAGACTTCAAAACAAATACAACAGAAAAGGTTTAACAAAAAAGTTTTTGGTTGTGTGACAATGGACAACTGGATACATTATGTGCTATGTGCAAAGAAAACTGAAGAAATGTATTAGTCAGAGATGCAGAAAGTATATAAGATCCAGGACAAACTGAAGTCTATCATAATCTGATTAAGTGATGATTTATCAGGTGACAAATCTTCAGGTCATAAATACTGACAGTATAGAACCACTCTCATGAGGGGCACACAATCAAATGCCAATGGTATATGTGTAAACACATTTGTTGCATTTTAGTAATGTCTATTAAGATCAGAAGTCTTGGTCTATTATCATTAGCATACAGGTAAACCTTGATTTGCGCAGCTTCAGAATAATGCCGCTTTTGAAATCAGGAAGTCAAAAAGTGAAAGAAATATATTTTACTATTATTTATAACGTTTCACAATGTTTCTCGTACTGATTCTTATACTAAATCGTAATTCTTACATCGCTGATTTTGAATAAAAATTATAAATACAGTCACCTCTGCACCCATTGCTAAGTAGTTGCGAGATAATCTCCTAAAAATCCTCCAACATTGTGCAACAGTCACGTGAGCATTGGTCACTCTTCACGGTGAGTCATTTGCGTTCAGCCTGATAAGGGAGTAAGGAAAAATGTGCTCAGTTCGCTTCTTGTCGACATATTGAATGTGCTGAAAACTGTGAGCTAAACGTGTTTGTGTTGTTGTTCAACCACTATTCTGCAGTAACAACTGTTTTATATTTATAAATTGTAGAAGAGCCACCATGTCTGGTAAGAGAAGTGAATGTGTTGCTAAAAAGTTGAGTAGGTCTATTGCGTTAGAAGATAAGATGGACGTAATTCGTAGAATAGGTGGTGGTGATACCCGTCGTAATGTGTGCAGAAGTATGAAGTTGCCTCCTTCCACTGTGACTACCACAATGAAAAATTCATATAAAATAAAACAGTCAATGCAGCAAGCTATGAGAGTAAGTGCAACGCAAGTGAGTTATAGCAGAAGTAAGCTTTTAGAAAGAATGGAGAAATTACTGTTGCTATGGGTGGATGACATGAATCGAAAAAACATTCCGTTGACTGAAATTGCTATCATGGATAAGGCGAAGTCAATTTTTGAGGAACTTAAGTCGTCAATGTTAGGGTGCCAGGAACATATGTCATTGACTTCCCATTGATTTACATTATAAAAAGAGTTTCAATTTAGGCCGATTCCATTTATGCCCGGCGTAAATCGAGGTTTACATGTATTTGTTTAACCATCAAATTCACTTCTTGTACTGACTGCTTACTTTGCTGTGGCCAGTGCTGTATTTCAAAAGCTCACCATCTGATCACTATGCAAAAGTATGTTACAATAGCAAGAGCTGTGGTATTTTATAAACACTGGGTAGCTAATTAGCTAACAAAGAGAGTCCCACTTAACTTGGATACCATCCAATATGTGATGGCCATGTTCTATGTTGTGAATAACTCATCTTCCAGTACTTTCGTCACTGTCAGTCCATAATGCTGTCATGGTAGGTTCCATGATAAGAGAAATACCTGTATACTACCTGCATAATAACAATTTCCAGGATAAATATTGCACTGAAAAGTCATCTGAAAATCAGTATATAAATTCATCAGAAGTATGAAAACAGATGTATTAATTGTACAATCACAATCACAATCACAATCTCTCTCTCTCTCTGACCCTCAAAAAAGATGTATACACACACGGTAAATGCTCTATAATATAATATGCATACATCATTTCAGGAACCAAATATATACAGTGTGTCTGTAAAATAATGGTGGGGTAATAAACATTCATAGTTTTGGAACAAAGCACGATAGAGACATGAAATAAACTTCAAAATAAAGAGAAACTCTCCAAAAATCTTACCTGTTCAGTAGATTTTGATATGCGCTCCTTTAGTTACCCTGCAGACATCAAGGCAATATTCAAGCTCTTGCCATACACGACCCAGAACATCCGGTGTGATAGATGAAACAGCTTCAGTGATCCTTTCTTTGAAATGGTCCAAATTTGTTATTTGGACAGAGAACACTTGTTGCTTCACATAACCCCACAAATAAAAATCCATAGAGGTAAGATCTGGAGAGCTTGGAGGCCAGGCTATCCACCCTCCTCGTCCGACCCATCGCTGAGGAAATGTTTGGTTTAGGTGATCCCGCACGAATGTGGCAAAATCTGGAGGAGCTCCATCTAACTGGTGAATGAAATTCTCCGGTATTTGGGGCACTGCAATTCAGGTGTTACATAAAATTTATCCACAGGACAAAATTAAACAATTCGAATTTGCTACAGACATTCTGGATAGGTTTTATGTTCATTTATGTTCAGTGATGAGACTACGTTTCATGTTTCGGGACGAGTCCATCAGCACAAACCTCCATATGTCCTTATGGAACATCAACGTGATAGCCTAAAAGTTAATGTGTGGTGCGTAATTGGACGAGACAGAGTTATTGGCCCCTTCTTTTTTGCTGAACAAACTGTAATGGGAAAGAACTTCCTGGATATGTTAGAAGAGTATGCGGTGCCCCAAATAACGGAGAATTTCATTCTCCAGTTAGATGGAGCTCCTCCAGATTTTGCCACATTCGTGCAGGATCACCTAAAACAAACATTTCCTCAGCGATGGGTCAGACGAGGAGGGTGGACAGCCTGGCCTCCATGCTCTCCAGATCTTACCCCTATGGGTTTTTTTTTTTGGGTTTTGCGAAGCAACAAGTGTTCTCTGTCCAAATAACAAATTTGGTCCATTTCAAAGAACGGATCACTGAAGCTGTTTCATCTATCACACCGGATGTTCTCGGTCGTGTATGGCAAGAGCTTGAATATCGTCTTGATGTCTGCAGGGCAACTAAAGGAGTGCATATCGAAATCTACTGAACAGGTAAGATTCCTGAAGAGTTTCTCTTCATTTTGAAGTTTATTTCATGTCTCTATCGTGCTTTGTTCCAAAACTATGACTGTTTGTTACCCCCACCATTATTTTACGGACACACTGTACATTTGAAACAAACATGCAGCATATGGCATTTCATCACTTACATGCAACTGACAGTTGGTACAACTAGCTGAGTAATTATAATGCTATGAAAATATATTTAAAGCTGTAAATTAATTACCTGCTATTGTCACATGTAAAATCCACATTAAACTTGCATTATTTTGTAGGAATAATCTGAGTTTTTAATTATGCCAATTAATAACACTTTATGCTACTTCTTATCAAATACATAGGGCATGGGAACACATTCAAGGAAATTCACATGTAGGCAATTCAAGCTTGACCCTTAATTTTTAATGTTTCTTGATTTCTCTGTTGGTTGTAAACATGTCCTGAAATATTCTATGCTGCAGGAATGGGATACATGCATGTACATGAAGAGGAACAGCAGGCTTCTACTTTATGAAGACTATCCAATATGAAACAAGTAAGATGATTTATTGATAAGCTATGATAAAATTTCCAGCTTGAATCTGAACCTCCCCATATAAAAGAACTACATTCTACACCATATTTCGTTGATTATGGTCAGCAGAAACTCAAAAAAGTATAAAACATAAGTAATAAATAAACATACCAAAATCTAAGATGGTGTGTTACAAACAACCTCACCTGGTAATGCGCCTCCTATCTAGAAAGCTAGGTGATCCCCTGCGCCTGGGAATAGAGGGTGACCGTGATCGTGATGAATGGCTAGTATGAGGACTTGCACTGGCGCTCTTATGACTGGAACGTGATCGACTGCGGGTGTGAGACCTATTGCTGTGGCTGCGTGAACTACGCCCACTGGAACTTTTTGTGCTGACAGTGAGGCTGTGAGACCTGCTTCGTGATCGTGAGTGCGTCACAGAACGAGAACCTGAATGGGTTCTGCTCCGTGTCTGGCTGCGTGACACAGACCGACTGTGTGACCGAGATCCACTGCTACTTGATGACCAACTCTTTGCACTTGAAGGGCTGAAACTACAACTCTCTATGTTGAATAGTGTTGAATGTGGATATTATTACTGTCATTCTTTAATTTGAAACAAAATATTACTTCAGGAAAGGACTCATACATATTCATAGCAGCTTGTAATAAAGAAAGAAGTTGCAAAGAAATCACAGAGATTTCATAAAACACTGTTTTGAAAAATTGTAATTTATCTATGACATTAATTAAGTTAAAATTGACAAACTGAGAAGTTACTTATCCAGTCCTATATCAATGAAGTTATCTTTATTTCAACAGTTACAAAGTACTAAAAAAGTATTGTTTTTAGAAAAATCAACTATTTTCCATATTCTTTTAGAAAGCTTATTAAGCTAAAAGAGCCATAATGAAACTGTATTATAAAGTATAAGACCAAAAAAGTGTGACGATAAAAATTAATGTTACTGAAATAGGGATAGTGAAGCTGGGAAAGAACATAGCATATCATAAAGTACAAATATGGAATACGTTAATATGGTACACTGCATAATTTTACATACTCAAACAACTTGAATGTAAGATAATCTTCAAACCAAGAACACTATTGGAATCAGAAGTTTTTGAAAGTAAAACAGAAAATTTATTTAACAAAGGAAATTACATGAATATAATTACATTTCATTTGCTAATGTCAAATTTCTGCACACTTGATCATTAGTTCTGCATAATTTGCTATTACCACTTAAAAATTTATATAATGGCTGGCCCTTTTGTTTACCAGTGAAAGAAAAGGGAAGCTTTGAGATCGTGTTGATTACCTGCCTACCCAATACAGCTGTGATAATAAATTAATAATACTACATATGACGAGGCATAAAATATGTATAGTACTTTCATCATTCAGCCTCTTCCATAACATACTATAGGTTATTATGTCAATACATAAATAGTACTGTATTGTATAGTCATGTAAACCATACCATTTCATCATCTGGCATGTTTAAACATCAGATTGTACACTAGACAGCTTCCTCTTGCATCTTTTCCCTCGTAGAACCCCCCTCAACTGGATGTAAGCAAACAGCATTGTCCTCAGTCCCAATTAGCTAACATTTGTTGGATGACCAATACATACCAAATTTGATTCATCTTCAATGTGACAGACATACAGACACACACATGCATGTGTGCATATACACTCGCACACACACATACTGAGTAACTGTGAACACTTAAGCAATATGTTCAAAATACTTACTTTGTGTTGTCTTTCTTCTCATAGTCTGTTGACCCCCAAACAGAAAATGTTATGATAAATACTATGCATCATATTAAAATTTCAGGAGTAGAAAATTACAAAAATTACCAAGAAATTAATGTGTTAACAGCAGACTGTCCATTCTTTCAGTGTCTTCCATTATAAATGTCTAATGATGTGGTAAAAAGAGTGAATTCACAGCTCAGAGATGCATGGAATATCTATGCACCAATTTATTTACAATAATATAAACCATTATAATTACTGCAATTTAATTTCAAAACATTTTTTATTATTTCTGCTCATCTCATAACACAATGATCCCACAATATGGATTCGAATAAGTATACTCATTTGTTTTCAGATTATCCTAGAAATCAAGGCATGACTATATAAACATTTGCATGAGAAATGAAACAGTACATACACCTCATCAAGTGTCTGCAAATATACAGATGCAATAAATCTTTCTTTCTGTGAGCTTCTGCTCAAGTATGTGCTTCCTCTTTTCCTTAACAATATTATCATTAATAGTACCATTAATTACATATTATCACTATCTGAATGAAATGTTTATTAGTAAAAAACTGCCACTAACAGTAAGAACTTACACACTATGTCACTCGCCAGGTCTAATATCCATGTAAAATCAAATGCGCAAGAACACATACCTAGGACTGTAGGATGATCGTGAGGAGCTGCGTGATTTTTCTGATTTGGGTGATGATTTGCCGTGGCTCCGTGACTCAGATCGGGATCTGGATCTGCTACTAGAATTTGACCGTCGTCTTCGACGCAGAGCTTCAAGGCCAGGGGAATGAGGTCTCTTCTGGTTAATCCTCCTAGGTTCTACAACAGCTGTAACTTTCTTTGATGTTTCTGAATCACCATCAATACTGTCCTTCTCAATTTCTGAGTTCTTCCTAACTGGTGGAGATCCTGGTGGTTTCGGAATTGATGAAGGTTGTATTGGTGGAGGATGGTCAGGACTTTTGGGGGGAAGTGGTAGGTGGGAAGGTGGAGGACTTGATGGCAATACAACATTTATAATTTGATTTTCTGTTATAGTTTTCTCACTGACCTTGTTCTTGGGTTCTTTTTCAGGAAGTGCAATATCTGACACAGATGTTTCATTTGTTGTAACTGCAAAAGGCTTTACTGCTTTATCTTCCTTCACAACTGTAAGTGTTTGCTTGTCATCTTTACATAGTGGTTGTTCCTGACTTCTGAGATCTGGCGACACTTTGGACAATTTCTTTTCCAATGTTTCTTTAGCCTTCTCTGCAAGCCCAGATTTAAGCAATTTTAAAGTCTGAATTTCCTTTTCATCCTCTTTTTCTTTTTCTCTGACATCCTTCTCATCTTCCTCCTCTTCTTCTTCACCACTTGATGACCGCAGTCTAACCCTAGGGATCACCGTTGGTGCTGGACGCCGGTTTCTCGATTCTGAGCGAGACCGAGACCTCGATGACTTACTCATTGAGGTGCGCTTCTTTGTTGACCTATCACCGCCCTTTCCAACAGCACTGCTCTTACTACTTGAAGGTCTGGTATCTATGATATCCTTATATCTTTCAGGATTTCTCTCCATTGGAGAATAGCTTAACGTTGAATTTGCACTACTGCTGCTTTCACTCCTGCATTTATGTCCTTGTTTCTGCTCACTAACTTTTCTTCTGCTTATGGGAGTAGGTGATTTAACCCTTTTCTTATGGTTACACAGTCCATGTTCATGTTTTGATAATGGAGGTGCTTTTCTGCTTGCTTTGTGACTTCTATTTGGTGACTTACTCTTGCTTTTGGCCCTTTGGTCATGATGAGTACTGCATGCAGGAGAATGTGAGGTCTTCTTGTCTGATTTACTGTGGGACTGACTGTCGCTCCTAGAATGCTGTCGAGCTGATTTTGGAGATGTGGATCTGGAATTTTTTCTTGAACGATGATTACTGACCAGTGATTTACTTCTGCTTCTGGAGTGAGGCCTTCGCCCTGCTCTCGGGGATGTGGAGTAACGTGACTGTTTCCTTTTGGGGGAAGTAGATGAACGTACTCTACTGTTCTTCGCATCATGACTTCTCTTTGATCTATAGTTCTTGGCAGATGGAGACTGAGTGTGGCTTACTGACCGCTGGCGAGTTCGTTTAGATTTAGGAGACTGTGACACATATGATTCACTTTTTCTCTCTTTTGCATTGGCAGAACTATAGTTTAATACTGAGGAGGCCCTGCTTTCACTTCTTGACTTATGATGATCTTCTCTTCTGCTTCTAGAAGACAATTTATTACTGGACCTATGGTTCTGAACAGATGGAGATTTAGTATGACTCCTTGATTTTCTATGCTTGTTCTTTGGGGAGGCTAATACATGTGACGATTTAGTGTCTGCTACACCTTTGGATCTTTTAGTAGATGGTGATCGTGTACGACTAGTACTTTTAGGACTTGACCTACGATTCTTAGTGGAAGGTGATGTAGATCTTTGATGCACACTGTGCTTGCTTTTGGGAGACCGAGATATAAGTCGTTTTTTCTGTGAATTCTGTGCAATATTCTTAGACTTCTTGGGAGATAAAGACCGTGAGTGACTTAACCTACCATCAGAAGAAATGCTTCGACGCTGTGTCCTTTCCAAACTTCGCTTCCTTCTTCTGCTCTCCCTTTCCTTATCCTTTTTATCCTTCTCCCTTCCTTTATCTCTTGACTCTGTTTCTCTCTCCTTTATCTTCTTTTCTTTCTTTATTTCATCCTCAATTTCAGTATGTTTCTTACTTCTTGATTCATTCTTCTCCTTTTTACTATCAGCTTTGTTGATGTTTCCATCACGGTTATTGTTCTTTGTGTTCCGATCACGTGATCCACAACGTGTCTGCTGTTTAGATCTAGCACTATGATTTACTACAGGTGAAGAAATGTGGGGTTTGTTATGATGTCGACTTGATTTTTCCACAGTATGAGTCTTGGAGTGCCGTCTTTCAACTTCAGGGTTACTGGAAATATAACAACGTACTTATGCACAACATAGTTATTTAGAAATAAAAATGAATGATAATTATGTTACATTTGAAACAATGATATTTAAAGGTATGTGATACTACAAACAGACAGGAAATTTGGAAAATACAAAAAAAGGATATTTCTGAAGGACCAATACAGAGAACAAAGTAAATCTATGACAATTAAGAAAACATCAGTCACTGATGACAAACAATCTGTACATTTTCCAGACATTTAAAGCTGATAGGCTGGGAAGTGTTTCAACTAGTGTGTTGTTCAACATGGTAATGGATGAAACAACAAAAAAAGTAAAGAAAGGCAAGAGAGTGAATTACCAAGAACTATAGCATAGGCAGAAGATCACACACATGTGAGGGAACCAAATGAAAGCACATTATAGAAGAAATATAAAAGGTATGTCATAACAACTAAATATTTTGTATGAAATGTCAGTTTTGATAATTGTTTAAAAAATCTGTCAAAAGATCTAGAGCAGACACATACAATCATGAAAATAGTGTTATAAGACAGCTGTTCAATAAAGACTGAGAATGATTTTTTTAAAAACATACCTCCTTTATTCTAAAACACAACTGTTTCTTTTCAAAATATGCTCCTCTGAACTCAATACATTTGTCCCAGCATTTTTGTCAATTATTAAAGACATGGTTGAAACCATTTTTGGACACTTTTAAAATCGCCTCAGCAGCTTCGACTGCAGCTTCTGTGGTCTGGGTGTGCTATCCTCAAAGCTGCCTTTTCTGTGTGGGGAAAAATTCACAAGGCACTAGATCTGGGCTGTAGGGAGTGTGGGGGATCCAGTGAGTACCTTTAATTGCCAAAAACTAAATTATAATGTTACCAACATGAGGTGTGGAATTGTCATTATAAAGCATCCATTTTCCAACAAGCTACAGTCATTTTCCTTTGATGTGGTCCATGAGGGTTTTGAGAAATGAACAGTAGTAAGCTCCATGCCAATTGTGTTAGGCAGTACTGCGTGCATGTAAATTATTCCACTACAATCAAAAACCACTTATCACCATATCTTTAACTGCTGACTGAGAGGCACAAGCTCCTTTTGGTCTTGGTGAGCTTGAAGAGACCCACTACTTACCGTCAGAATCATACATAATCCATGTTTCATCACCTGTTACATTTTGTAACCACTCATTCCGTTCTGCAACGCATGATTTCCACAGCTTTACCATCCATCACAACAGATATGTGACTTAAGAGGCGAGACAGTCGTAGCTTCTAATAAAGGTCACAGAACAAGCACAATTAACCCTTCAGCATGGGAGCATTTAAATCCAAAGTCTATACTGTGCTGTGGGAGGATTTTCTGCTTGGGGATTTAATTTTGAGCTTGAAAGTCATTTTACTTATATGGGCACAACTTCCCTAATAATTGATGAATTTTAGTGAAACTTTGAACAAAATGTTCACAACACACTATGCTTTATAGATATGTAAAAAAAATTACCTTAAAAGTTGAGTTTTGTGTGGAATATCTTGAAACAGCCATCAACACAGAGACCAGCCTCACAATCAGGACACCAAAACACTGTCTCCTTTCTCTTGCCCTGCTTGTAACACACCACACAACGCTTTGTAGGTCGTGACTTTTTCTCTGTTGGAGGAATTCTCTCCGGAAAATGTCTTTCAATTAGTCGGGGCACAGTCTTGTCTGTGGAATGTCTCCCTGGAACATTCCTTTCTACCCCACCACCATGTTCAACTAGGAGAGCCTGCACTAGATCCACCCTGTATTTCAAGTGTTCAACTTCTATTCCCGGTGAATTTGCCCTGCAGATTATCATAGAATTTAGAATTGTCGCATTTAGCAACCTCATAAACATTTTGATGTACCACTTGGTCATTTTCTTTCTTTCCAAGAGGTAATTGTGTAGGAGCTGATCTTTCAGATCAACCCCTATCATGTTTTTGTTATAGTCCAGGACTGACGCAGGGTTTTCCTTTTCCTGCCCACCCTTGGTCTTCACTTTTTGTGTATCATCACCATGGTATGTTGAAATCATGGTAACATTCTTCTTGTCGCTCCACTTTAGGACAGATACAGGGCCAGAATGTTGAGCTATTAGCTCCCCCTTCTTTAGTTTCTTCTCTTTGACAGCTAGAGGAACATCTTTCCTATTTATTCGGAGAGTACCAACACAATCAGTCTTCAATGATTTCAGTATCTGAGCTAGTGCTGGTGCATTGTAGAAGTTGTCCATCCACGATGTATGTCCCCTACCCAGTAATGGCTCCACTAGAGATAACACAATGGCTGATGTTTTGTTTGTGTCCTCTGATATCAATGATGACGTGACAACTGTGTCCTTTCCTGTGTAAATGATGAAAGACCACAAATATCCTGAATTGGACTCGCAAAGCTCATACTTCTTGATCCCAAATTTTGAAGATTTTAGTGGAATATACTGCTTGAATGACAGTCTTCCTTTTCATAGAGTCAGTTACTCATCTATTGCAATATTCTGACCTGGTATGTACAAATTTTGAAATTTTTTGTTCAGATAGGAAATAACAGGATATAATTTGAAAAGCTTTGGAGGGCCCTGGTATGTGTCTTTGCTGTCATTGTTACTAAAGTGAATAAATTTGCAGACAGATTCAAATCTGTCCATAGAAAAACCGGGCCAAAGATAGGTGTTGCCAAAAGAGAATTTTTTGAAAAATAAGACCTCAGTGTAGGCTTCTGGACTATTCCCATCAACATGAAAAGTGCCAAAACAACGTACATTTCATCATCAGAGAGAGGTTTCCATTCTCTTATCCTTGATCGAAATGGTATAGGAAGGCTCCTACAATTTATGCATTGCTCTGCACAGTGATTTGTTTCACACACAAATAGAGCTATCAGCTCGTGAGTGAAAAAGAGTTTGAACACATTCACAGCTTCAATCACATTTTTCCCTTCATTTTGAGGCCCACAACTGCCGACAAATTGTTCTCTTTGTCCTACATAGTTTTCCATGTTCTCCCATGTAAAAGCAGTAGGACGTGCCACACTCGGTAAACTGCTTCCACTTTGTGCACCGTTACTGTATTCATTTTCAGATTCGTCACATGTAAGAAATTCACACACAGGTAAATCATCGATTACACTTGATTCATCATCTGAATCGAACATGCTACTTTCGGAATCAGTGAGAGGTTCGTCTACAGTTCAATCAATGTCTTGAGGAGACAAAAAACGCCTGCTACTCAAAGCCATAATCACGGCTGACTGACGGCAGATATGTGCTATAGATGTCTCTTCATACCAAGGGTAAGAACAGAGAATTCATTGACTAAGCTTGTTGACATCATATACCATTGGAAAGCTTGCAATGTGTCCTACACAGCTGTCGTAATTGTAACTATATTACTCCATTTGTCTTCGCTAGAGAGAGCCACAAAGCCATCTATATTTCAAAGTCGAAAAACACTGGTAAAATCGATCTGTCAGAGTCATGTTATATATCAATCGATAGCCAGCTTTTTTCTCTACATGGCTACTGGAGCCAGAATACATAAACTACAAGGTCAGTCGCTACAAGGAAGGAGAAGTCTTAGCGCACAATATGCGAGCAGTGCTCGGCACTCCACGCCATGGGATGATTACGTCATGACAAGCGATGTTCGGCACTCCACGCTGAAGGGTTAAACATACAGTGACTTGTAACTGCAGACATAAGTCACACCTGTCAGTGCTACCAGCCACCATAAATATAAGTTCCCCCAAGATTTCCCAACACTTAAAAAAAACATTCTCAGTGTTTCTTGAACACATTTCATATTTTATGTAAACCTACTTTAAAAGGTACGTTTCTCTTTCGCTTACTTACCTATCAGATGAACTTTCATGAGATGTATCTGGCTTTTTCTTCGACCCGCTTCCTACTCGTTTTCTCTGAATGTACAAAAAAGAAAACATATGCAATTAAGGACAAAGTTACTAAAACAATAACATACATGGTCACATAACATGTGACTGTAGCAATGCTATAGCATAACAGGAATAAATGGCTAAATCTCATTTTAAATATACAGGATAGCAAGAACATTAAAAATGGGACAACTGTTTTCTGAACACCTGACATGAGACTGGTGTGAAGACAATAAACAAGTGATATCCAAAAACATTTTAATAATTAACTACTTGATGCCATAATCCCTGAAAGTATTTTTATAGAAAATGAGTTGAAGATCTCATGAATAGTGAAGTTGAGTGTTAACCCTTTTAAAGACACTGCACTATTTGCCTAAGTAGTATGCAAAGTATAAATGTCCCCTGAACAGTTACCTAGATGGAATTAAATGTCTAGTTTTTTAAAAAAAATCTCCTCTAGTTGAAATAGTCTAATTTCAATGACATGGTAATGAAAATCTTTGTAAAGATTAAAAAAATGTATTTATTTACTAGCACAAAGCCATTATTTCTTAAACACATTTTACTGTTTTAAAATTTGAGACAAATTAGAGCTATAACAATTATTAAAAATATACTAAGTACAAAACCATATGCTACGAGCTTCGGTTCTGGGCACTTGATTAAATCTTGAAACATGGTATATGACACAACAGTTTGTTGGGTTAGGTTTTGAGTTATATTATTAGTTGCTCTTCCAGTTTGATTCTAAATGCATTTCTCTGTGCACTCACTCTTTATAATGAGTTTGTTTGCGTTATGTTGTAATGTGTGTTGGGATCAAATAACATGCATATGCAAATGACCCACACATAACATCTCAGCCACTGAATTTTATTTCTGGGATGGTTATCTGATTGCTGAACTCATGATGATAAGATGCTAAGTGATTCTCAGAATGGCAAAATATGTGTTGTACAATTTACCTTCATGTCCTGTACCTGGACCAACTAATCAAATGCACTGAAATATCTCAGATAAGACAACCAATTTTTGGTTAATATTTTTTAACCTCAGACCTCATATATATAAAGCAGAAGTGCAAACTACTTCATTACCACATTCGGTAAAATAATGCTTTTATAGTTTGTAATTATGTAAATACTGGTCAAAAAAGTCAAGTGATGATGAACCTGCAGTGATATGTTGTGAGGTCTTCCTTAGGATTATCATGTGGCTAAAATATTTTATGCTCATGCACATTATTAACAGTTTCAGAGACTGGAAAGATATCCTCTCATTATGATTAAAGTCTTTTAATTGGGGATAAAATTTCAGTGACCTGTACAGAAAGGGCTAAAATGTTAAATGAGAACTATAAGTAGTAACAACTGATTAAAACTGACACAGAAAAATGTTATTAACATTAATAACTCATGTGAAACAATCTTTTGTTTTGGTGGCAGGGCACAGGGATTCTATCAGCATCCCAGGGAGTCCTTGTGGAGGATACCCACTGGCTGGTGTGTCAATGAGATTCCTTCCTCAGTGCCTAAAGGGACTATTGTAACAGCTTCTATTCCTTTACCCAGAACAATACTGAATGGGTTTCACGTGAACAATTCTAATGCCGATGTATATAATTTTTGGTTTCTTGACAAGATTACAGAATGATTCATACATCTCTGTGTTCCTATTAATTTTTTTGTATATAAGATTTCATACTTGTCCGGAATCCCACTTGGTTTCATTTGCTTCTACAAAATACAGAACTCATATTTTATAATACAAAAAATGCATAAAATATGAAGTACTGAACCAATATAAAACTTCCTTTCCTAGAAACATTTTACTTGACAAAGCAATGTGCTTATAATACAACACTATGTGTGCACAATCTATCAGATGCATGGAAAATGTAATTGTCCCATTCAAACACACTTAATTTATATATAACTTCGTACATTCTGAATGTGCGAACTTATTTAGCAAGCTTTAAGGAGACACTAGTGATGAAATTAATATTTCTAAATAATTACAAACATTCAAGATAACTGAAGTCTTATATACTATTTCAAACTGTTCTTTTCATACAGCCAAATATCAACTACTCTTTCCAAAATAGGCAAGAAATAAGCATTAAATATACTACTTCAGTAAGAAGATGGACTACATAGCAGATAGAATAGATGAACTGAAATTTATATCCACTTAATTTAGATACTACTTCTATCACCTTCATTTCTGTATGTCTCTCATTATCCCTAGAAGTGGTTTCTTATTACTTTGATATTACTTAGTCTTACTTCGATATTACCATAATAGGCATTTATTTTATATCAGAGTCTTTTCAAAACCTTTCAGTTATTTATAGTATTCAGTTTAACAACACACTAACTATGAATATATACTATTACAAGATAGAGTAAAATATTACAAAATTAAAACAAATTATCCAATCACTAGAATCTCCTTGAAGTACTACTATTTTCTTGTTCCTGTGCTGCTGTTCTACAATACTGATCTGAACACCGCATCTGGGAGACATCAATACAATATGATAAACACAAAAGTTGTACAAATAACACACATGGAAGGCTTTAACGAAACACACCAAAGAACAAAATAAAAACTATACAACTTAAAGAAAAGCAAGACTGACAAGAAGAAAGCTAAATAATACAACTTCCATGTACATTAGAAACATGCAAGTGTAGTACACGCAACACCCAAAAATGCTGATTACTAACAATGAATTGCTTCTGTATGCAAATTATTTCATAAGTCAGAAGAATTAAATGGGCAATAGATATAAACTTGTGACAATATATGACAATGCAAGAATACTGAAATAGGACCTGTGCAACTTAAAACTTGTTAATGATAATCAATCTGCCAACATTCTTCATGAACTGTACTCCTTTAATTGTTAAAACAATTCATGAGGCTTTGCTATGTCACTCACAAAACAAAACTCTAATCCCTGCTTTTGTATATTACACTCAATTTTTTGACACTTGAACATTCAAGTACAGCACAGGAGTGTATGTCCCAAATTAAGGCAGTGATACATGCAAAATCTGAAAATCTTCAAATAGTATATCAGACTTGAAAGATCTTATACGTTAATCATAGATCAAGCAAGATGTTAACTTGAAAACTATTATTTAAACAACTTGTCTTTAAAGCAGCATTTTTGTATGTTTGGTGTGAAAAACAGAAACATGAGAACACAGTACATGTGCAATCTTACATCGGGTTATAAATAATACTGTATAATGAAACCACCGCCACCAGAACTTCAATACTCGTCATAACGAATACTTACTCAATGACATAGGATCCTATGATATGGTGCGTGGTGTTATAAACAAGAACAATTTTTATCGCTCTAGATTTGTTTCTGCTCTGTATTATTCACAAGGAATAAGCCCTTCAAGATATCTGGTTTAGTATAACCATATGCAGCATTTTACATTTATAAATAAGACACTTCTTTCATTAAAATAGGTCATGCAAACATCTGAACACTGTTTAAGGAGAAAGATGTGGGGAGAAGTTGCACCACTTTCAAGCAGTAAAATGGCCTATGAATGTTTGATGGAAGATGAAGTGAAACAACAAAACCAGATCTTGCTAAAAGTAACATAACGTCTATCTGATATACTGAGTGAAAAAGTAAATGGAAACAGTTATTTCATTGAAAAATTTACACCTTGTAATGTAACATTACTAATTGGAAGATAGTTAATTGTAGCAAAACGTTTTATTGAATACTTTCACTATTTGTTATTTATGTTACACATTACATGAAATTACTTATTATTTACTACCACCACACTAATGAGTTTAAAGGAATTAACTCAGCATTATACAATGCATGCACTGATGAAGCTGAACACAGCTGTCAGTCCCTGGTTACCAGCAGAAACTCCACGACTTGACGCCAAGTACTTACAGGAATTGCTGCTAAAATTACACTACAGTGCACTTGTGTCTAACAAATGTTGAACACTGGTTATTGTAGTGTGTGGATATGCTTCAAAATTCTGCTGAATAGTACATTTCTCTGTATGAATCCTATGTGAAATGTGGAGGCATCCATAAACTCAATAAAAAAGACAGGTTTACTATGTCCCTTCTAGACAAGAAACCTTATATGATGAAATTTTGTCATATCAAAGATCTAGATGAAATGGGGTCTAGGTTAGAACACATACCATGTAAATCACTGAGACACCTTGCATAAGAGATTAGCATCTCAAATTGTCAGCAGCCAAAGTGATGACGTTACTTAAACTTAAGCCACACAAGGTGACTAACTCCTGCTTTGCAACCACATAACCAGGCTAGCAGATTATATTCTGCAACTGGTTTTTCAAATTAGTTCATGACAGTGAAGTTGTTCTTCATTTAACTTATTTTTATGATGAAGTGTAGTTTCATTTGCACAGACATGTTTCTTCCCAAAATAACTGGTAATGAGTTTTTGTTAATCTACTTATAATCCAAAAAGTTCCTCTTAATGATGTAAAGGTTGGTATGTGGTGCACAATAAATGCTAAAAAATTATTTCCCCCATATTCTACACGGAAACAATTAATTCTGATAAACATGTAACACTAATATTGACTGAATTCTTTACCCAGCACACATAAGAGAACAACTGTAGGCATGGTTTCTGCAGGACTATGAACCTGTCCATGCCACAGATGATTCTCCAATGGATTTGGAAGTGGTGTTTGGTGACAAAATAATGTTGCAATTTATAGCCAGCATGTGTACCTGATCATACTCCATGCAACTTATTTATGCTGTATTTAAAAAAAAATCTGAGGAACTGGCCCCAATATGAGAGAAGAGTTAAAAAGATAAATTTTGGAAGTTCCTAAGAAAGAATTTCTTTGAGTAAATTTCAGGCATTCAAAAGGTATGGAGTGTGTGTGCATCTAGACAGAATTTTCAGCACCTTTTATAATAAAAGTACTTAAGACTATTTTATTGCTTTTATAACATAATATTTGTATCAAAAAAATCTTCTTGTGCTTGGCAGCAAGTCATGCAGTTCCTACCAGGATTTGAGAAGTAACAGTTGCATTTAATTTTGTCAGTGAATGCACTATATTATTAATCTGTATATATGTAAATAATAACACATTTTCTTTATTTAAAGATAATGTTCTAAGTCCTTACCAGTTCTTGTAAAATATGAGTGTATGAGAGATTTACATTTAATAACCACATCCACTCATTTAAAAGGTACACAGAATAACATACTGCATGTACACAAAATATATAAAATATTTATACATACATTAAACAGACCTGAATATGAAACAACACACCAATACATTATTATTTTTATAAGTGTCTCCAAATCAACGTTTTTGCCAGGCTTACTGAGTCATAATTTTCATTCATGTCAAACAGTCTAGTGGATGTGACATGTAAAATTCTCATACAAAATAAAAAATTATATCTGGTACTGACTTTTGAAACATCCTAAATTATAATCACTAAAAGAATGAGCTTCTCAGCTTTCTAAAGAAAAACTTTAAATTTACTGGAACTATACTTACTATTTGATAATATCCTCGGAAACGTCCATATATATGATTGCAAAATTCCATGAAACACAATTTGGATGAAAACCAACAGGAAACAAGGTGAAATAAAAGGATACATACAGCATGGAGCAGATTAATGGGACAAATTTAATGTCAAAATTCTAAGCAGGTTAGACTGAAGAAGACCTTTGGAATGTTTTAAAATATTCATATAATTAAATTACTGTATGAACACAATAGTTTGGTTTGGGGGTGTAATGTAAACTATTCAGCAATGTATTTCACAAGTACTGCACCATTTAATTAGGCTGGTGTAGAATGATGTTACTAGCAATAACAACAATGCTCATCCACCTTCTTGTGTTTTATAGAAAACTGAACAAAATGTATAAAAACTGTGAGACAGCAGGTCAACATAGCTGTAGACAAGACATACCTGAAACTACCCAGACTTGAATTCATATCTTTCACTTTGTTTGTGACTGTCTTAAATGCTGAGCAACAGGAAACACTGAAAACTGTACATTCCATGCAGGAATATATACTATAATGGGAGTAACTGTAACAAGGTGTTGCTCTTTGCAGGTAAAAATATTTTTAAGGAGGTACGCTACTTATGAAAGACACTGCTGTGATATTCTAGGGTACTCTGCCTTCTAGTTTACCTCTTCATGAGATCGCTTGTCTTTGGAGATGGTCTCCACCTTCTCCTTTTGTTGCTTATTCTTGTCCTTTTTCTTATGGTGCTGTCTGTCATCACTTGAAATGGATGCACTGCAATGAAAATGTATCTACTCAATTTCAAGAATCTACTTCAAAAACTACCAATATATTCACTGGGACAATACAAACAAACAAACCTCACATACAGACCTATTTCCCTTTCATCAAACTGACTGAACAATATTGGAAAGGCATACTCTTTGGAACACACAGTTGTACTACCAAGATCTAAGGTCAGTTATACCCTAAGCTACTGCTTCCCAAAATTTTTCCTTCATTACCCAAAACCACTTATCAGAAAGTACTTTTTACCCAATGTAGGTAAAACACTAACTGCACAGAAAACATATATGACAAGTAAAAATTAGGATTCAAATATTTATTATATTATGTTAAATAAACAAAAAATTATATAATGAAGATTATCTTTTCCAATTGTGCACAGCACAATGAAGATTATCTTTTCCAATTGTGTACAGTACGATTTATAAACACAGCCAGCGTGATACATACCTCACACCGCCATAGCTAGCAACATACTGCACCCAAAGTTTAGACTAGACAACTAGACTCACTAACTTTAGTTTAGGGGGGTGGTACATGTAGACGTATTTTTTCAATTCTCCACGTGCATGCGAGCGAGGCAAAATTGATTGAATCTAATAACAAGCGTATGGCGTATTTATTAAACAGCATATCAATACTTGTTAGTCTGTTTTAGAGTATCGGTGCACAATGACTGATCGCTTTCTTCAGAGTACTTCTTCTACACTTTTACGGTAAATTTTAATGTGTAATCCGAGTTGTGTCATTACCTAAAGAAAAAACACTTTTACCCCTTTTTCGGGTAATTTACCCAGGTTTGGGAACCACCGGTCTAGAAGATTCATCGTCATAATGGGCATATTCTATGACATTTGAAGAACTCTATACTTCACACTTTTCAGTTCACATTAAATCGAATGTTCATCAGCCACTCAGTGTTCGATGAAGATAAAGCCAACTTCAGTGTACGGATTAACGGATAATGATAGATATTATTGTGTTGTTTTTCAGGGTCATTTAAGTAAATATAAATGAAATAAAGAGATCTAAAGAAAAAAGATCTGATCAGTTTTATTATACAATTTGACAGTAAAACAGTTAGGCGACGTCCATATCAAAAGGTGGATTTAACGGATTATAGTTCCGTTCAATTGTAATTTATCCAGGTTTGGGAAGCACTGCCTTAAGTTATTTTTAAACGTAATCTGAGCCCAGTTAGGTCATTCTTGCACTAATGTAATCCAAGGGCATTGTTGCACATGTATCAGTGCATGGCACTGATACAGTATCTGTAGAAAACAGTGGGTGCATCTACAAAGCCCTCTGATCTGTACCCAGCAGAACCAATAGGAATCTTCTGAGTGATGAATGGTAGCCATGTACAGTAGCCATCATGGTAATCTATAAAGCACATTTCCTGGGGTACATGATGAAAAGCATGGTGCTCAGCTGACCAAAGGCAGATGAGGTAAGACAAAACAGTACTGTGTAACTTCAACTTTAGGGATCAAGCCACATCAAATGTTGAGAATTATCCTGCCTTTTGGCAAACACTACAGTTACCATTTTGAGGGTAGAGGGAGCCGAGAGAGCTCAGTCAGTATAGTGACTAGCTATGGGCTGGACAACTGGGGTTTGATCCCCAATTGGGGCAGAGCTATAGATCAAGCCAACGAGAAGTTGGGGTCCGCAGTGCTCAGGCACTCGAAGAACGGTCGTACCCAGTATCCAGTGTCCCAGTAGAGTTCCGTTATGTTAATTGGGTTTGCTGTTAGAGAAGAATTCGCCACTTTTCTGTTTCCACGACCATTTTTTGACGAAATCAATATGACGAAAGGGCAGCTTTTTTTGTCCCTCATCTGTAATTTCTAGACTTACAGTTGTGAATTAAAACTCTCTATTACGAGGTATTTATTCAGGTAAAACAAATGTTAATCGAAATTATTGTTGAGGCAATGAACCCTGTCATCCTAGACGCTAACAAAAGTCGAGTAAAAGGGTTCTAACGACGGTGCGATAATTTCTCTATTGCCGTTTATCTAGGGACTGGGTTTAGTCCCTTCTATTGAATCCAGCAGAATAGTACTTTCACACGAATACGGGAGCAGAACCACCTACCACAACGTAGTAGCTTCGGTCTTAATAACCTGAACGATGGGCAAAGTCGAGACAAGCAGCAATACAGAAAGGGGCGAGTGCTTAGGTCCATTCTACAAAGATACTCAGAAGTGTTTAACGGTGGAGGAGGGGTCACAACTTATTTAGACGAGAGAAATATTTTGGGTATGAACTGACCCAGCGTCATCTCCCGACATTCCAGATGTTACAATAGTCTAATGAAATGGTGGTATAATTTTAGCTTTCAGCGCAAGCTGTTATACTACCATCTACTGAAGTCTAGAAAAATTAAAATTGTATGTAAGATTTGATGTTCTCACGGCGACGAGAATATAGATGACTGTCGTTACAATCCAAAGGCGGCCATTTTCAAAATTATATCTGTGTATCTTTATTTGCGATACGACTTGCTTCAGGCAGTCTGAAATTCTTGTTCAGTGAACCGCGACAACTGCTTTGTTACATACATACATCTTTATTACATTCCATGGATCCATAAGTTAGTCAGATGACAATAGGATGTAGAATAAGTCATAATAATACAATACATGTTATACAAATACAAGTCATACTATTATATAAATGTCACAAA